CATCAAGGTGCTCCAATGATCTGTAGATTCTATCACTTTCTTTTAATCCCTACTTAAACTCTACAATTTTAGTAGAAAAAAAATAAAAAATAAAAAAATTATTGATTCTTAATAATATACTTAATGTCTCTCTCTTTATAAAACTTATATCAACTCTTAATGATGGAAGCTATACATTGGTAGTAATAGGATGTATATAAGTTTTATTATAAAAGTTAGGGCCAAAACCTATATCAAAAGATGAGCTTTGCTTAACTTCAAAACATGGATTTTTGAGTCGATCTAAGGACTTGCACAACAAGCCATATGTATGTATATATGATTATACAATCACAACATCTTCTTACAAGAGTGACTAGAAACCACACACCTAGCAAAAGCACCTCAGGCTGAGTTAATGATAGCACATGTTATACAAACACAATAAGAAAAACATCAACAACAAAACAAGAAGGGAAGAAAACTTACCAAAGAGAGGCGGTTGACTTGTTCGCTCAGCAGGCGCACAAGAAAGAGTGACATTGCAACAGAGCTTTGCCACATGAAAAGGAATTATAGAGACGAAACCCTAAGCGAGAGGGGGTATTGGCAGGAAAAAAAAGGAGCGCCTGGAGTTTCTTCCTCTTACTCGCCTAATATATCTACCTGAGAACCTTATGTGCATGGATGAACCCATTATCCATGCAGAACACCATGGTCAGGGTATTACTCGATATGCTCGAGGATAAGTTTAGTTCGAACACAATGTTGAAATAGAATGTATGTAGAAGATCCTCAAACTTGTCAAATCCTGAAATGTATAAATCGTGATCAACATGCGAATAAAATAACTCTATGTTATTGCATACGTACTGAATTTCACATGGTCAACGTCGGTTCTGCACGAAATTTGAGGATGCAGCTCTAGGAGTCTCGACGCACCCAAAAGTTGGATTGCGAATTGTCTGCCACCTCGTCCACCACAATGTCTTGTCCCGGCGTCTACTCAGCTACGCCTGAGCGCAAAAAGTGGAAAGCAAGTCAATCCATACGAATAAATGGCTCTTCACTGTTGTAGTATTATTGCTTTTGTTTTTCTCAGACGGCGGAAAAAACAGGATTCTATTTGCATATTTTTATCTGAAACACAGGATGGAAGACCTCTTTGCTTTCGATTGTTTAATATGCTTTTACGTAGTCCAGAACATTGATCGAGCCTCTCGGAAAAGATAAGACGAAGCTTTGTGTGTAGAATCTTATTCCATACAAGAACCTTATTTCTAGTTTCATATTTTCTTAAATCGTTCCATCTAACCCAGGCTTTTGCAAACTCCCCAGAATATTGCTTGCGATTAAAGGGTTGTTCGTAAAACTTTTCATTGTATTACACAGTCTACCCGTTTACAAGTACGACATCACAATGCAATATCCATAGTTGCGGTTTAAACCTCGGACCAGGTTTCATCGTCCAAATCATGCAGTTCCATCGCTCACGGACTGACTAAAAGCGCAGCCCGCCTACAGCACAACCCGTACACAACGCTAAAATACCAGTCACCGGTTCAATCCCAAATCCAGACGGCCCGGCCTGCTCTGTGTGTTGCATGGAAAGAGAAATTTCACCCCCTGACCACGGGCGTCCAGGATTGCTGCCGATGGCTCATCGACGCACGATCCCAAAACTTACCAAGTCTCGCTCCCCGAGAAGCACGCTTCTGTGAACATTACGACGTTTCCGGGGACTGGAACGTTCCCTCGCAAAAGTCAAAGCGTGCCCATGCCAAGCTTCTGCAGAGTGCTTCCACATACTAGCATTCGCAGCAGCCCGAATAGTCGTGTCCTCTCGGTCGTGCGGGCACACAGTCAGCCCGAAAGGACTGTTTCGTCCCCCCCCCCCTACCCGATACCACCCCTTCAGGTCCGTCTTCCAGGTCACCGGTGAACGTGAAAGTCAACATAATCCTATCCGCGAGCCAGAACTTCCAGTTCACGCACTTCACTGTCAACGCCAGAATTACCAACCATGCGCAGATGCCCCAAGCCCGGTTCACTACATAACCAGCGGCAGCGGGCACTGCAGTCATCGAAACGTGCTCCTCCTCCTCCTCCGGTACGATCCTGCCGCCATTGCGTTCTGAGCCAGTGAGTCGAAGCAAGCATCGGTGCGGAGCTGCAGACGATCCAGCTTGTCACGAAGATGGCGATCTCCCGGCAATCGAGACATGCCGGCCTCTTGGTGGCCGCCACTCTGGCAATGATCTTCATAGGTGACGCACCCACTCCCCTAGCCCAACACTGACCCGCACTGCACGAGCTCACTGCATGATTCTTCTGTGTTGGCACCAGGGCCCATCCGTTCGGACCCAGCGATTTCAGGGTGCGTCTCAGTGGATGCATCCCGGCATTGCAAGTGCTGTACCGATCCGATCCAAAAGCCATTCCACATGCTTGTGTCGTTTGGACTCGTTCATGGCACGCTGAAGCGATAACGTGTTGGATTTGTTCCGCCATGTCCATGCAGGCTCTGCCGACGCGTGGTGCAAAGAAGGCACCAAGGACTGCGACTACAACCACAAGAACGGGTGCGAGACCAACGTCCTGTACGATGTGAAGAACTGCGGCGACTGCGGCAACAAGTGTGCGTGCGGCCCGTACGCCGTCCCCAAGTGCAACAAAGGCAGGTGTGAGTTCTCGTGCAAGGCCGGCTGGGCTAACTGCAACAACGACTGGAAGGATGGGTGTGAGAAGGACGTCGGCAAGGACGTGTTCAACTGCGGCGGCTGCGGCAAGAAGTGCGAGTGCGGCCCCAATGCCATCGCCAAGTGCAACGGCGGCAGGTGCCAATACAGCTGCAAGGCGGGATGGGCCAACTGCAACGGCGACTGGAAGGACGGGTGCGAGAAGGACGTGAGCAAGGACCTGTACAACTGCGGCGCGTGCGGCAAGAAGTGCGAGTGCGGCCCGTACGCCAGCGCCAAGTGCAGCGGCGGCAAGTGCCAGTACACGTGCAAGTGGGGCTGGGCCAACTGCAACGGCGACTGGAAGGACGGGTGCGAGAAGGACGTGGGCAGCGACGTGAACAACTGCGGCGGCTGCGGCAACAAGTGCCCCCAGCCCAAGTACTTTGGCGGGGAGGCCACCTGCAAGAACGGCAAGTGTCGCGACCAGTGCAAGAAGGGGATGAAGTTCGACGCCCACAAGAAGTGCTGCGTCCGCAGGTACTGACGACGGACCGAGGTCGGGAGCAGTGGATCCCGCTTCGTTCCACTTGTGCGCCGATGCGGTGCGCTGGACAATGCTGCTTTCTCCCTGCCGTGGCCGGACCGACGACGGCGCGGGCAGCGTGTTCCAGAGGTCACAGTGTTGGTAGTCGGTAGTCGGTAGTCGAGTTGGAAGAATAAGAGGCCGCAGTGCATCATCTCGATGCACAGACACAGCCGCTGATGACGAGCGTAGAGAGTGGCCGCTGGAGCGCCGCGGTCCGGGCTCTGTACCATTGGGCTGACCGATGTAGATGTGTAAATTGAACTCAGGAGCTTGTGGCAACTGGGATTCCCTACAATAACATGAAGAGATACTGAATGATTGACAACACAAGTGGGCTCGTGGTGGCCAAGCTTTGTCCATTGCGTTCTCTGTTGCGTTTCTGGAGATCGTCAACACATGTCAAAGCTGGTCGTGTTTTAGCGGTCGGGGGCGCAGCGTCGAACACATGTGCGTGGGATGTGTGGCGCTGCAGTGGATGTTGTTATGTTTTGTGGCACTCGTTGATTCGGTGGAGCTGTGGTTTTCCATGCCATTCGCGCTGTGGGGCGCGAGAACGCAGTGGCCATGTTTCAGGTGGAGTGTGCCCCGGGAGGATCGGGGAGGCTCGTTTAGCTGCTTGAGGCGGAGAGGACATTTGGGTACGGCTTCCCGAATTGCGCATGTGCTGGACTGTTCTTGTCACAGAGCCCACTTTCGGATAGTGTGTGTGGAGCTCCGTCGCCAGCGCGGATTACTGCCGGGGAGGCCTTACTGCTGCGCTTTTGAATGTGGTGTGCATGGGCAGTTCCGTTTTCCTGTAGACAGTCTGGGACGAAGTTCAGAGGGAAATCTCTGAGCTCAGTCGTGTGGTCGGAGCGAGGGCTTAAGACGTTCTTTCCCTTGCTCGAGGTCAAGTGTGTTTCTGGGGCCGAAAGTTTCTTGGGAGCAAAGCCAACGCGGGAGATCAGGGTGGCAGTTGATAAATCATGGACCTTGGCTCGGAGGCATGAGAGGATGTTGATCTTTTTAATGCAACATCTGGATAAATCCCACTTAGTCAACTTTTATGAAGTGTTGGAGTTCTATCATTACAAAGCTCAAATTTTATTCTGAAATTAGATGAGAAAATTGTAAATCAAGATGAAGAATATCTTGACAATAGGAAACAGTAGTTGGATTTATGGGTTAGTCTTCCATTCAACTTTCTCCATTTGAGGAGTAGTGTAGATCAAATCACCAAATACCTATATCTAGATCCAAATAGTACTACGAACAGATGAGCCTTTTACCTATTTTTTATTATAAGCATAGAGTCGTATGGTATAACTCATAGCATCTTAAATATAGATCGAGTGAGGTGGTCAAAGTATTTGTGCACAAATTTATACTTGTTGTATATATGATGTTTCGCATATATATATATATATATATATGATGAGTTAATAATTTTAATATGTTACAAGCCTCTATCTTGTTTCAATGTGGCATATATTGATTTTTCTTTTCTAACTTTGTTTTTGCTTATTCACTGAATATTTCGTTTTTCAATTTTAATTGAAATTTGTACTCTATTATGTGTTCTATTGTTTACACATATAATAGAGAAGCATGAGGAATTTGGAACTAAAGTTTTTGAAAGGAATGTTTTTAAAATATAGAATTATCATGTAGAAATTGTTTTTCAGCCAGAGGCTTTTAATGTGGTCATTGAAAGTGAGAAAATCTAATGTCCATGCCTAAAATAAGTGATAACATCAAATTACAACTTATAGATGTGGTGGAGCATAAAAATGGCAATGTATAGATGCTTGTCAGTTTAAATATTACTTTGAAAGTTACATCAAAACTTATAAGTTGTATCAACATAATCTTTGTAGTATGAACCAATGTCAAGGAAAAGAATCAAACTCTCTTTGTTCTTGAGGAGCATTTTCTACAACAAAAGACATCATCACAAAAATAAAACAAGTTAGAAGAATCGAATGATCTTGTATTCTTTATCCAAGCACAAGCACAAAAAAATAATTTGAAAGTAACTAATATAATCCATATGCTTTGAATGAGGAAATTGTGTAAAAACCGCAAAATATCACTGCAATGATATGATAATAGAATGTAAAAAGAACTGGTACAATGCTTTACTTACACAAACGTACTTGCGAGGTGAAGTACCAAAGGGCCAGAACTGTTATTGAGATGAATGAAACTCTAAAGAAGAATGTGTATGGATGTTCATCCAACAACCTATTTAAAGAATTCACCAGCACCCTGGCAGCCGGTAAGTAACACACACCTTTAGTATTCCACCCATTAGTATCATTTGTGGGTCCAAGCTCTTCGATAAAACCCTCTAACCCAAATTTTCGCAAAAGCTTCATAATATTGAACGCCTTACGGAACTGCCCATGCACACCACATTCAAAAGCGCAGCAGTAAGGCCTCCCCGGCAGTAATCCGCGCTGGCGACGGAGCTCCACACACACTATCCGAAAGTGGGCTCTGTGACAAGAACAGTCCAGCACATGCGCAATTCGGGAAGCCGCACCCCAACGTCCTCTCCGCCTCAAGCAGCTAAACGAGCCTCCCCGATCCTCCCGGGGCACACTCCACCTGAAACATGGCCACTGCGTTCTCGCGCCCCACAGCGCGAATGGCATGGAAAACCACAGCTCCACCGAATCAACGAGTGCCACAAAACATAACAACATCCACTGCAGCGCCACACATCCCACGCACATGTGTTCGACGCTGCGCCCCCGACCGCTAAAACACGACCAGCTTTGACATGTGTTGACGATCTCCAGAAACGCAACAGAGAACGCAATGGACAAAGCTTGGCCACCACGAGCCCACTTGTGTTGTCAATCATTCAGTATCTCTTCATGTTATTGTAGGGAATCCCAGTTGCCACAAGCTCCTGAGTTCAATTTACACATCTACATCGGTCAGCCCAATGGTACAGAGCCCGGACCGCGGCGCTCCAGCGGCCACTCTCTACGCTCGTCATCAGCGGCTGTGTCTGTGCATCGAGATGATGCACTGCGGCCTCTTATTCTTCCAACTCGACTACCGACTACCGACTACCAACACTGTGACCTCTGGAACACGCTGCCCGCGCCGTCGTCGGTCCGGCCACGGCAGGGAGAAAGCAGCATTGTCCAGCGCACCGCATCGGCGCACAAGTGGAACGAAGCGGGATCCACTGCTCCCGACCTCGGTCCGTCGTCAGTACCTGCGGACGCAGCACTTCTTGTGGGCGTCGAACTTCATCCCCTTCTTGCACTGGTCGCGACACTTGCCGTTCTTGCAGGTGGCCTCCCCGCCAAAGTACTTGGGCTGGGGGCACTTGTTGCCGCAGCCGCCGCAGTTGTTCACGTCGCTGCCCACGTCCTTCTCGCACCCGTCCTTCCAGTCGCCGTTGCAGTTGGCCCAGCCCCACTTGCACGTGTACTGGCACTTGCCGCCGCTGCACTTGGCGCTGGCGTACGGGCCGCACTCGCACTTCTTGCCGCACGCGCCGCAGTTGTACAGGTCCTTGCTCACGTCCTTCTCGCACCCGTCCTTCCAGTCGCCGTTGCAGTTGGCCCATCCCGCCTTGCAGCTGTATTGGCACCTGCCGCCGTTGCACTTGGCGATGGCATTGGGGCCGCACTCGCACTTCTTGCCGCAGCCGCCGCAGTTGAACACGTCCTTGCCGACGTCCTTCTCACACCCATCCTTCCAGTCGTTGTTGCAGTTAGCCCAGCCGGCCTTGCACGAGAACTCACACCTGCCTTTGTTGCACTTGGGGACGGCGTACGGGCCGCACGCACACTTGTTGCCGCAGTCGCCGCAGTTCTTCACATCGTACAGGACGTTGGTCTCGCACCCGTTCTTGTGGTTGTAGTCGCAGTCCTTGGTGCCTTCTTTGCACCACGCGTCGGCAGAGCCTGCATGGACATGGCGGAACAAATCCAACACGTTATCGCTTCAGCGTGCCATGAACGAGTCCAAACGACACAAGCATGTGGAATGGCTTTTGGATCGGATCGGTACAGCACTTGCAATGCCGGGATGCATCCACTGAGACGCACCCTGAAATCGCTGGGTCCGAACGGATGGGCCCTGGTGCCAACACAGAAGAATCATGCAGTGAGCTCGTGCAGTGCGGGTCAGTGTTGGGCTAGGGGAGTGGGTGCGTCACCTATGAAGATCATTGCCAGAGTGGCGGCCACCAAGAGGCCGGCATGTCTCGATTGCCGGGAGATCGCCATCTTCGTGACAAGCTGGATCGTCTGCAGCTCCGCACCGATGCTTGCTTCGACTCACTGGCTCAGAACGCAATGGCGGCAGGATCGTACCGGAGGAGGAGGAGGAGCACGTTTCGATGACTGCAGTGCCCGCTGCCGCTGGTTATGTAGTGAACCGGGCTTGGGGCATCTGCGCATGGTTGGTAATTCTGGCGTTGACAGTGAAGTGCGTGAACTGGAAGTTCTGGCTCGCGGATAGGATTATGTTGACTTTCACGTTCACCGGTGACCTGGAAGACGGACCTGAAGGGGTGGTCTCGCGTAGGGGGGGGGGGGGGACGAAACAGTCCTTTCGGGCTGACTGTGTGCCCGCACGACCGAGAGGACACGACTATTCGGGCTGCTGCGAATGCTAGTATGTGGAAGCACTCTGCAGAAGCTTGGCATGGGCACGCTTTGACTTTTGCGAGGGAACGTTCCAGTCCCCGGAAACGTCGTAATGTTCACAGAAGCGTGCTTCTCGGGGAGCGAGACTTGGTAAGTTTTGGGATCGTGCGTCGATGAGCCATCGGCAGCAATCCTGGACGCCCGTGGTCAGGGGGTGAAATTTCTCTTTCCATGCAACACAGAGCAGGCCGGGCTGTCTGGATTTGGGATTGAACTGGTGATGGCGAATGTAGTCTTGTATACCGGTTATGCTTTGAGCGAGCTGCGCCTACCGCTCTGGATGTGGTAATTGATGAAGGCATTGGTAGCGTGGGTGTTTCGAATTCTTTCTGGCCCTCGATTTTTGGAGCATGCTTTAGGAGATGTCGGAGAAATGGAATCGCATGATTTTCCAAGAGGATTTGTAGTTTGATGTGAAAATAAAACCTTCGATGTGGCACCGTGTTATACAAGTTGTGAACAGCCAGTTGGTAGAACGCAATTGAAATCATATTTACAAACGATATCTGAAAGGCGAGCAATATTATGAGACTTTTGCAAAAATTTGGGTTAGAGAGTCCAAACGAAGAGCTTTGAGCCAGAAATGATACTATTGGGTGGAATACTAAAGGTGTGTGTTACGTACCGGCTGCCAGGGTCCTGGTGAAGTCTTTAAATAGTTTATAAGCTTACAGTATGATCGATAGCAAAGAGGTTTACCCTCTCTTGTTTCGAACAAAATGAAGAACAAACTTGTGAGGGCGATGGCAGTTTATCCCTGCGCTGAGGTTGAACAGTGCTCCGCTTCCGTCCTGGCAACCGGATGGTTCAAGCGCATAGTGCGAATAGTATCATTTTTTCCGCCGTCTCAGGACAATAAATACAATAGTAATATAGTAGGGAAGAGTCATTATTCGCATGGATCGTATACCATTTTTCGGCACTCAGACGTGGCTGAGGTGGACCCCGCGAGAAGATCCTGTGGAGTTCGAGGCGACAGACAATCCGCTGTCCTGCTTTCGGGTGTATCGACAAAGCAATGGATGAGGTGGCGGGGAGTCAGCTGCTTGTCTAGTTGGCAAGCATTAGCACAGCATGATCTGCATGCTCAACAAGACTTCCACAGCTACAGTCCGCAACTCGGAGGCTCCAACTCCTGCATCACCCTCAGGTTTCGTTCAGATTTGACGTCGACCGAGCAACCCTGGTGCAATTGGAGAGAAGTTTTGAAAATGTCGGTTGCATCTCCATCGCCCGTTGTGGTTGAGAGACTCGTGTGAGGATTGTGGGTGAGGAGCGGTCGACCGATTCAAATGCTTTTTAACAAGGGCATGGTCATATTTACTGTCAAGCTGGTAATTCACAGCGAGCGAATGCGTTGCATGCCCACTCGGGAAGAAACTCTTTCCAAGTTCAACGACCGTTTAAGATGACACCAAAGCGCTCTCTCGCACACCCTGAGAGGTGGAATGCTGCAACGATTCTGAGACTGGACTTCAGCGAAGACTATTTCAACTTCCTTGTGATAACCTGAACTTGGAGGCAGATTTGAGAATGGTCAGTTGCTATGCAACATGTAGATGTGTCGACCACGCAGCTCGTCGTTGACACTCAACGGGGGGGGGGGGGGGGTCCGTTAACGCCGCAGTAATTCACCCATTGTCAATATGCACCCCAATGAGATCCAGGCCGGCATGGATGGCCGACGTTCATGCATCGGGGAACTAAATTCTGTGAACGACCTTCGGGGGTTTTGCCGAGATGGATATGCGTTGAGCACCGCTGAAACCCACGCTACGAAACGCCGTGGAGACGTGCTCCACCCGCTCCGGCATGTGGGTTGACAAAAGAGGAGACTCGAGTCAGGATCAGCTGGGTTTGACTTGTAGATATTCTGGCCCACTGGCGAACTCGCGGATCGAAGCACAGTGATCGGAGTGTCAGCGTGTTCCATTCGTCGATTCGAAATAAAGGATTTCGACAACCACAGGTCGCGCGGTTCGAGGATGTGCAAGCGGACAGAAGGTCCACCTGGATGGAGTTGACTCCAGGGCTCAAATAAGCACTTCGCGGCGTGCATCGAACATCTGAAGTCAACTTCGTCATCCACAATTCCGGGCTTCGATGGACGGGCAACCCCCTCTACGGGCAGCAACGAGGCTTGCCAGATGGTCCAAACTCCTGCCTTTGTTTCGGCACAATCAGGGCATGTCCGTCGCATAGCGTAGGAAGAAAAAGAAAAGCACAATGCGTATGAACTCTTGCAAACCCTCACGCCAGAGACACCCGTGTTAAAATTTTATACTCTCTCTGCAAATGTACACTCGTTTATAACACAAAACATCTCTTCATTCAATCATACACAATTCTTTAGTGTCACAAGAATCTAATACTGAAAGTATTCTTTCTCTCGTTCGATAACACTCTGCACCTGTATCTCTCTCTCGAACTAAAACTATCGAACATTTACTGAAATCCATTTGGTACTACGAATAAATGAGGAGTAGAATATGTTTGGATGCATTCATCCAACACTTCCACTCATCCAGACGTGTTCCACTAAGAATGGTTTATTCTACTTTCCTCCCGCTCATTATTTTGGAATTATCTGATGCCAAGTAGACCACAAAAGTTTTGAAGAACATTGTATAGTAAGGCTTTTGTAAAGATATCTACTATTTGTTGATCTATGTCGATGTATTTGAAATCCATGAGTTTGTTTTCATATTCTTCACCAATGGCAAAGTACTTTATGTTGATGTGCTTTGTTCTTTTGTGATACTCAAGATTTTTAATGAAAACCAATGCAGCTTGATTGTGACAATGTGAGTCCTCCCAATGGATCTTAATTGGTGGATTGGTTAAAAATATAGTATTAAGATATTTAGTAGTTAAATACTAAGATTAGAGGATCTTTCTTATTATTTATATATTTATTAGAATTTAGAAGTATTTATAAGTGTAAAAGTCTTATTAGAAGAAAAGTTACAAAAATAGAGTCTTAGTAAGTCTTAAAGGTAATTATCTTATTTGATTTAGTATTTTTATCCATTATTGAATATTAATGATTGATAATTGAGACCAATTTTTATATTGGCCTCATATCTACTTGCACTACTAAGAAAAGTCCTATCAATGATTAGTTAATAGTTAAAAGAAGCATGAAAAAGAACTTCATGTCTTTTAAGTTATGTATATAGAAAATAGGATTTTTAGTGGATTTAAATTGATTTTATTAATATAAAAAAATCACCAAGATAGAAAAATATAGCTTTATATGGATACTAGTATTATAGAAATATTATAGGATTTTTTATGAATTTTTAGAGAAAATTTCAAGACCTTGGTAAAATTGAGTTTTACCACCTTGAGAGCCACTATGAAGAAAATAAGCAAGATTAGAAGATTATACAAGGTTTCTAGGCTAATTAGGTATTTTTGAACACCATGGTGAAGTAAAAAATGCAAAATAAAGTAGTTTTACTAGTAGAAAATAGGAGGACTAGTAGCTACTGTAATCCTTGTAGGAAGAGAAGTGTATAATTTCCATATGGGTTGTAACACCTTAGGTATAGGTAGGAAGAAGAGACAAAGGCCTCAAGGCCTCTTTAGACAACGAATATATACTACTTGTGAGCCTAGTTGAGGCTCGAGCTCCTGACTTTTTAAGCAAGTTATCCTTCAAATAAACATTATTTACTTAACTTTTCTATTATTTACATTTTATCTTTAATCTATCATAACTTATTCATAGAAACTTGAAATTACATGATTTTTATATCATTGGAAAGATAAATATATATATATATATATATATAAATATGCATCTAAAAATATAATATTTATTTATTATTTCTACTTTTTTCTAGATAAAAATCTAATGAACAGACTGTGATTTAGTTTTGGATGTTGTGATTACTTGATTTAATTTCTTTCTTTTGTATTGTGGTTTTTCTTCTTGGTATTCGCCAATTGCTTACTTTACTTCACACCACCAATTATAAGCAACTCTTAATTGAGGCCATCTTATATTTGGAATTGAGGAGTGAAATTTACACTCATATACAATAAACCATAGTTGGTAGCTCTTATGTGGCATTAAAGGATTGTAAAAATTTGCATAACCATGTTATTTCTTCAATGGACTTAGCAAAAGTAAATAGTTCAACAACCATCATGGATGTAATTAAATAATCTTTTTGATGACTCTTCCAAGTATTAGCTATTGATCCAAGAATATAAACAAATCTTATGCAATCTTTTTGGTCATCTGAGTCGCCTCTGAAATCAACATCCACATAGCCAATGAATCTAAGTAGTAGTTGTTGTACATTATAATATAATTCTTGATCCTTAGTGTGTTTCATATTTTACATGACTCTCTTCACTATCATCTTGTGACTCTATTATGTACGTTCTTAGAAAAAAAAATACTTTGCTTGTAATATAATCAATGTTTGGTTGAATTTTAAGCATTGTATTCATGAAACAACTCACTGCTAGGTGATATAGAACGTCGATCATTATTCTAAAGTTAATGATTAATTATATGATTTAATCAATAAATTTATATATTTATGGCTTTTTTTCTTTGCTTTGGTGGTAAAGATTTAGCATGAATTATATAATGAGCTATTTCAAAAACAATACAATTCTTAGGTTCGATATAGCTATTTTGTTGTAGAGTATAAATTGTACTTGTTTGTTGAATGATTTAATTTTTATTTAAATATTGGTCATATTATTTATTTAAAAAATCATGGCTTTGATC